AATACAATTTTACTTAATCCCCTCATTATCAATCACGTCACTATAAATCCCCTCCATTCTATCTCTGAAAACAAACGGGGCCTAATATAAGGGCTGTCCTTCCTGCTATTACATGAGCTTGAAAGAGCTTTCTTTATTGAGTCCAGATCCTCTGCCATACTTTCCTGTAGTGGCCCCTGCGGTGGTTCAAAACGACGTCGTTTTGAACTATTTTTTTTTCCTTTCACTTCTTATTTGCTTCAGCCTCTTTTTGTTGTCTAGTGTTCAACCCTAGTGAGACGAATAGAGAATAGAGTGGCGACTACAGCGAGGAGATGAGAGGCAGCGGTGAGGCGAGGGGAAGCGGTAGGAGATAGATAGAAAGGGATTGGCGACGACGAGGAGGTCCGTTCGTCTTCATTCTCATTTTTTTCCCTTCGACCCTTCGTGTTTTTTTACTTATATCTATTTATATATATATATGTTTTTGTTGCCATAGTTTGATTTGTTGTTCAAAAAAATAAATGCTTTTGATTTATTGAGTTTGATGGGTTTGATTTGTTGAGTTTGATGGATTTGTTGTTGTTGATTTGTTGCCATAATTCTAGGGTTTGTTGTGGAAACAGATTTGTGTTTAATCTGTTCAGTTTTTTCCCAATTGTTGTTTGTGTTAATCTGTTGATTTGGTGTTATTCCCCATGTTTGTGTTAATCTGTTCAATGTTTGTGTTATTCCCAATTTATTGGAATAATGACATTAATCTGGGCCTCAAGAATGATTGGGAACAGGGGGTTCCACAGTATGAAGAAACATTTTTCCAATTTTCATTGAAGTTGAAGTTGAGGAAACATTTTTTCAATTTTCCTTTTTGTGGTGTAGGAACAGGGGGTAATACTAAAACAAAGCATACTGTTGTTGCATAAACTTAGTGAAAGAAAGCATGATTTTGAGCAAGTTGGACTCTGTTGATTATTATGTATATAACTTAGTGAAAAAAATGAATTTTTTTTTTCCTTTTATTTGATTGAGTTTTGAAAATGAGAAGATAAAAATAGATCATTGGAAACCCTTCAAATTCTAGGAGAGAAAGATCAATAGATGTTCTGTTTGACAATTTTTTCTTTTTAAATATTTTTTTTATATCATATATATATATGTATATAAGCTGACAGACCACTTGGCCTCTTAGTATATATAGCTAACAATGTATTTTGAAACACAATTAGTTCACAAGGCCCATTAGCATCAAGGTTTTTATTAGATTATGGAAGAAACTTTTTATTATAATTGATGAGGCATATGTTAAATGAACATGAACATGAATGAACATGAATCCATTCCCTGAATCATGAACTACGAATAAACATGAACATGAATATGCATAATTGATGAGGCATATGTTAAATGAACATGAACATGAACATGAACATGAACATGAACTAGCATCAAGGTTTTCCTGAATCAATTCCCCAAAACCGTATATGACTAGGAATGAACATGAACATGAAAATGACATTAAGAATGAACATGAACATGAAAATGAAAATGACAATGGTTATTAGACAAATGGTTATTATATCATTGATTATTGTTTTATTTTACATATTTGTCTTAAGTTGTAATGGACTGATTGTGTCATAAAATGCTCTTACTAGGATCATGTCAATGGGTTCAAACATTGATGCTGGATATTTGCAAAATAGAAGATGCAATTGTGGAAAAAAAGCTACAGTGTTTCAAGTGTGCAGATAGGATGTGCGAGTACTTTGGGTGGGGAGCGGCTCTAACTGGGAATGCATCAAATATTCAAAGGAGAAGTAAAGCTAGTCATATGAAGGATGAAGATGAGAAAGGCTATGATTTTGATTTTGACAAACTCAATGAAATTATAAATAGATTGGAACGAGTTGAGGCAAACCAAGAAGCTATGAAGCTGATTATGTTCACAACCATAGTGTTGGTTGGTTTTACCATGCTAATAGCACTACTGAAGTGAATGCAACCATTTAGTTATTTTTTTGTTTTTTTTGTTTGTTTTTTTTTTTGGTGGTTGTATTTGGGTTTTGAATTTGGTAAACCTTAAACTATGAGTTTTGATATGTGAAGCTTAATGAAATTACCTATGTTTGACGAATGTGATGCCTTTTTTTGTTTGTTTGTTTGTTTGTTTGTTTGTTTTGTTTCTGTCAATGAAATTACCTGAAATTACCTATGCTTGACGAATGAAATTACCTATGAGTTTTCATTCATTATTTTATATTGTTATTGTTGGTCAGGTCATACTTGTTCTTATCAAGATTTGTTCTTCACTTGTGAAATGAATCTATCTGTACAAAACAAAATAAATTTACATGCTTGACATCATAATACATCATACCACAACATAATATTTGTCCACAACATAATAAATCTGTTCACAACATAATCTGTCCAAATCTGTCCAACACAAAATACATGAGATCTAATCTGTCCAAAACAAATGAAATCTGTCCAAAACTGTCCAGATCATTCCAAATCTGTCCACAACATAATAAACCTGTGCAACACAAAATAACACAAACCAAATCTATCCAATACAAAATACATGAGACCAAATCTGTCCAAAACAAAAGAAAACTGTCCAAATCTGTCCAGATTATTCCAAATCTGTCCACAACATAATAAACTTGTGCAACATAAAATAACACAAACCAAATCTGTTCAACACAAAATACATGAGACCAAATCTGTCCAAAACAAAAGAAAACTGTCCAAATCTGTCCAGATTATTATAAATCTATCCACAACATAACAAACCTGTGCAACATAAAATAAACCAAACCAAATCTGTCCAACACAAAATACATGAGACCAAATATGTCCAAAACAAAAGAAAACTGTCCAAATCTGTCCAGATTATTATAAATCTCTCCACAACATAATAAATCTGTCCAACACAAAATAAACCAAACCAAATCTGTCCAAAACAAATGAAATCTGTCCAGATCATTATAAATCTGTCCACAACATAATAAATCTATCCAACACAAAATACATCTGTCCAAAACAATGTAGATAAAATAAACTTCTCAGGGATGTCCATCTACATGACTGTCAGCAAGACTATGTGACGCTTGCGAGACTTAGACTGCAAAGTGTTGAACACTTGTACCTCGAAGAAACTCCTGAAAAGATCTGTGAGTGGGATACACAGAAGGCATTGACTAAGGCGTGTTATTTTCCTGCAATAGACCAAACTATCTATTAAACTTTGATTACAATGTATATTACATTTGTAATGTAAACTATGTAACCAATAATAACTCACATCATATGTACCATATGTAAGATGAGGACCACTTGTACCACCCATGAGAACTTGAGGTCGAGGTTGAGATGGAGAAATGCAGATATCATGACAATGATCCTAAATACAGCCAATATAAAGTACGTAACCAAAAATTTTGAAAAACAAAAGAAACATTATTAAGGTGCCATTTGGTTACACTTTAATATTACCTGATTATAATTACTACCCATGACGAAACGAGGTTGTGATTGAGAAATATTGACACCAACACCATGATTCTAAATACAACCAATATAAAGTATGTAAACAAAAAATTTGAATAAAAAAAGAAACAATATTTAACATTTTTTTAAAAGCTTGCACACAAATAAATATTACCTGATTAGAATTACTACCCATGATGAAACGAGATTGTGATTGACCTTGACAAGTATAAATAGCAACACCCGACTGCATTGCCAGGCAAACCAATTAAAGATAACAAAAATTAAATGCCAGGCAAACCAATGAAAGGATATAAAGTATTACATATTACCTGAATAGAATTACCACTCATGACGAAATGAGGTTGTGATTCATCTTGGGAAGTATAAACAGTAGCACCCGACTACATTGCCAAGCAAACCAATTAAAGATAACAAAAATTAACCATATAATAAACGGACTAAATGAAAGGAATTCATAAAACTACATATAAAGACCACATTACTATTACATATTACCTGAATAGAATTACTACCCATGATGAAATGACGTTGTGATTCACCTTGGGAAGTATAAACAGTAGCACCCGACTACATTGCCAAGCAAACCAATTAAAGATAACAAAAATTGACCATATAATGAACGAGCTTAATGAAATGAATTCATAAAACTAATCATGTAAAGACCACATTACTATTAAATATTACCTGAATAGAACTATTATCCATGCCGAAATGAGGCTAAGATTCACATTGGGGAGTATAATCAGCGGCATCCTACATACAACGAAAAACCTTAATGAAAGTGGGTCATTAATAAAAAAAATCAATGTTTTAGTGTATTAATCTACTGTATTTTAATCGTATGCAATTTTTCATGTCCAAACTTAATTAGATTGCATCATTTTCTTCTTTGCAATATATTTTTCCATCCTGCTTTTGATCCTCCTTCTTCCCTTACTAGTTGATTCTCTTTTCTTCAGTCCTTTAGCTTGGATTGGACAATCTACTTCATTACTCTGTGGGCATGCGTTGCTTGACGAATTTCTCAAATCAGTTACCTCCACTTGACCACAAATGTGGACACTTAATTTGTCTTCAACCATTACACTCAATTCTTTACCTTTTGAAACTAACAACTGATAAGTTTCTTCACTTTCAGTGGCTCTACTCGCTATTGCTCTAAACATGGTCATTAATGACCGATATCGGTCACTTTGATGTAGTTTCACAGCAGCCTTCACTTCATACCCACGTCTATCTTTCACACGTTCAGCCCTTGCTTTTTTAGTTCATCGTTTGAGTATATATTGTAGAGGAAGTTCCGTTGCGTTGAATATATCTCTAAGCACCTTCACACAATGTCGACATAGTATGCCCTTCACTTCAAATTTCTTGCAACTACAACTCAAAGAACCCCCTCTATCCATTGTCACAATCTTATCTTTTTTTCCATCTACCATTGTTCTTATTGTGAACATGGTACTCTCACCATCATTAATAGTGCCCATAATGGATGCTTCATTGGATTACATGTACTCATTTTGGAATTCCTCAAAAATTGTTCTCGTGTAAATCTCTGCCACTTGCTTTAACATCAAAGTTGGAATTGAAACCCTCAGCAATTTTTGGGACAAATTATACTCGGCTTCCAATTCCTTATACATCTTCTCATAAAGCACCCTCTCAAAATGCATGAAGAACTCCATCAAGTTATGGTCACAATTCAGATAATCCTTGAGAAATACATTAAAGGATTCACTAAGTTGAGTAGTACTCATTCCAGCGCCCAATAATTCATAATATATGGCCATCCTCATTTCTCCTTCACGCCAAAAGTCTGCTCCAACCAATGATTGTCAAATGCATCATACTTATCAAGCATTTGGTCCCATTGTATTCAAAATTATTCTTCATCATCAATGTCATGCATAAAATTTGAAAACACACATTGACCCCTACATCATCGAAAACAAAACTTACATGCTTGACAACATTTTGTATCAAATGCCACGTACAAAGACGGTGCTTTGTATCGGGCATGACAATTGGAATGGCCTTAACCATCGTAGTATCTTGATCTGTGAAAATAGTTTTCGGAGCTTTGTTTGACATTGCCTCCAGAAAAATTTGAAACAACCATGTAAAAGATTCAGCAGTCTCATCATACATCAACGTTGCACCGAATATAACTGTTTCTCGATGATGATTAAATCCAACAAATGATCCAAAAGGTCTATGCTCGTTATTTAGTTTGTAAGTAGTGTCAAATGTCACTACATCACCAAACTTAGCATAGTCCATGATCATTTGAGCATCGGCCCAAAATATATTACTTATCTGCTCTTCACAATCTAGCACTGCATAAAAAAAGATGGATTTTCCACAGTTTTCTTACGAAAGTAATGCAACACACTACTCGCTTCCCCTTATTCCAAATCTTTTTGTCTTTTCGATCTTAGGTAATTTTTTTGGTTCAATTTGGTGAAACCAAGTGATGTTCTTCCACCAGATTCCTTACCAAATAGTTCATAAGCAGACCTAAGAGGAATTCCAGATTCTGAAGCTAATTCTACTTCAATTGCTTGGGTGGTAGATATTTTTCTTTGGGATAGCAACATATGAATGCAATCTTGAGGCACAGGATCATGATTATGATGTTCAACAAAATCACAAGCAATATATTTTCCTAAAATTCTATCTAACTTGATACTAAATCAGGCACCACAACCACATCTTATCTCTTGTCTCGGATTTTTGACAAGTGGATCTCGTTTGTCAATACCCTGACTTCCCTTTTTGTAACATACAAACGTCCGTGATGTTATCTCCTTCGTATGTTTGTTCTTGTTTGCATAGGCCTTCCTAATACTAAAGCCCACCTTTCCCCCATACGTATTGTAAAAGTCGTATGCGGCTTGTTCAGAGTCAAATGGCATTCCCACTTTCGGCTTCCAACCACAATCATCAACAATATTATTTTCTTCCATTACCTACAATTCATATATATATAAACCACGTTCATACTTAATTACAGGTTCTAGGAGTCAACCACATTTATACTTAATTGCAGGTTCATATATATAAACCACATTCATATATATAAACCACATTTACCTACAATTCATATATATAAACCATATAATGGAAGCAAATTATATGAATCCACAAATAAATGTATGAATCAGAAAATAATATTTACAAGTAAATGTGATTAACTAACAACAAATCTAAATCCACTAGAATATATCAATGTGATTAACTATATATATATAGAACATAAAAATTCATATGAAAAAATTTGACTTATATATATAGAACATAAAATTTACCTACTTCAGCGAGTGAACCCATTTCAGTTAGTGAACCCATTTCATATGAAAAAATCTGAATTAATTGATTTCAAAAAAATCTGAATCATGGGTTAAAATCTGAATCAAATAGATTAAAATCTAAATTAATTGATTTCATATAGATTAAGTGAAATGGGTTAAATAAATCAACATATATGGGTTAAGTGACTGAACCAAACCATCTATGAATCAATAATAGATTAATTGATTTCAAAAAAATTTGAATCATGGGTTAAAATCTGAATCAAATATATTAAAATCTGAATTAATTGACTGAAATGGGTTAAATAAACCTCACCAACAGATAAAATCTGAAATGGGTTAAATAAACCATCTATGAATCAATAACAACCCATCTATGAATCCCCAACAGATTAAGTCTATACATATCTATATACATACATACATATATATAATACATATATATATATATATATATATAACAACAAGATGATGAAGTAGACCTCGTCGTTATCGCAATGTCGCCTTCCCGTCATCGCATCGCCGCCGGACTCACAATCGCCCATGATCCTTTGCTCGCCATCACGCTGCTCCTCCATCTCCGCCATCTTTTTCGTCTCTTAGTTCCTCTCTCAGTTCACGTTCGTTCTCTTTTAGTTCCTCACTTCGACTTTCAGTCGCCTCTCTCTCTCTGCTAGGGTTCACTGACTCAAATCGATGGTGCAAAGGCGAAGAAGATGATACAGAGAAGAGAAAAGGGGGGAGGGGGAAACAAAGGAAATGAACATTTTGAATTATAAAAAAAAAGAAAACACTAAATAAAACGACGTCGTTTTGTAGACCACTGCAGGAACCATTGTAGGAAAGTATGGCAGATGATCTAGACTCTTCTTTATTTAGAATACTCTTCTCTTTTTTAGAGCATGTGCTTCTGCCTCATCCTGTTTGCAATTATTTTATTTGTTTCGTATAAATTTTTCCTGTGTGTTAGATATGAAAAACCAAAGTGAAGAAAAAAAAATTAAGAGCCAGAGTGAAAAAATTGTCAAATATAAAGGGGCAAAGTATAATTTTATGCAAATCACAAATATACTTATTGAAATTTGCTTAAATTGTGAATTGCCACTATCATTTTGAAAATTATAAATATCCCACGTCATAAATTTTTATTTAACATAATTAATAAAAAAAGTAAATTTGTAATTACTCTTCTATATAACAATAAAATTATCAGAATTATTAATTGTAATATATTTTTAATTTTAAAAATTGTTAATTGACTTAATGATTTGTTTATTAATAAAATGAGTCATTTATTGTGCGATTAGAAATTAGAAAATGTAAGATGTAATTTTCAAAACTATAAGGACAATTCATCGTGTAAGCAAACTTGAAAAGAGATATTTAAAACAAAGGAAAAAAAAAAAAAACACCTTTGCCAAACAAGGCCAAAAGTAATATGAATAATATGACTAATAAATAATTAATTATATATTTTAATATTATTGTCATTAAAAGGTGTCATTACATTTTTTAATTATTATCTAATTTTATTCAACTTATTAAAAAATATTTAAAATTAAATTTTAAAACTAATATATTTTTTAATTTTAAATGAAGATAATGCCCACTGTTTAAGTATCAAATAAAAAATTATAATAATAAGATATAATTTTAATAAATTGGAAACATGAAATTTAGTTAAAATCAAATATTTATATGAATAATTTGATTAAATAGAGATTATTATGGAGATAAATTTTAAATTTTCCATACATTTAATATTTTATAAGGGTGAATTTTTTTGACACACGTTAACACCACACGCACCGGACACGAGTCAAAAATAATACAACATAATAGCATGAAATAATAAACAAATTGGATTAATGTTTAGGGAATTATAACACAAACTCAAAATGATATGACACGATGTCCACGTAATGTTTTTCTAACACAAAACCTACGAAGTGAAACAATAAAAATAATTACATATGGAGGAATAAAAAATATATATTTATTCTTGTTTAGATAGATAAAAGGGGGAAAATTGGAGATTTCTCACCTATCTTATTTGATTAAATTATACATAAAAAAATTAAAAAAAATAAATTGCATTTCACTTTGATAGTGAGGAAATAATATCATTTTCGCGATGGTGCAAATATCTATGTATATGGTTAGGGGTGTTGGCAGTTCAGTTGCGGCCGGAGAACCTTCAATTTGCCATCCGTTCATCGGATTGGCAGATTGGAAAAAATCAATCCGCATCCGTCCGCCGGATTGACGGATGCGGATTGATGGATTGGCAAATAGATGTGAATCGATTTGGCAGTTAAACTTTTACAAATTTTGAATATAAATATATTTTTTTGGAAAACAATTGAACTCAACATAACTAAAAGATTATCAAGTAAATTGTCGAATACCAATAATAAATACATATAAGAAAATCATGTATTATCAAAACTATTTCATTACTTTTTTTTTAATTCAAAAACTATTTAATTTGATTATTTTTTTAAAATGACAAAATTAAGCATTATATTTTCCATACAAAAATACAAAAATGTCAACACTTGCCATTTGATAAAAGGATTTTCAAATTAAAAATACAACAAAATGTCTAAATTCTTTTTCAATTGGAAACACAAATAGAATATCTAAACAAATTAAAAATATAAAATCTTACAAATTACTAGGGGTGGTCGCAGTTCGGAGGTTCGGTTGCGGCCAAAGGAATCTCAAATCCGCTATTCGTCCAAAATTAGGCAGACTGAAAAAAATCAATCCGCAATCGTCCGCTTGTCATCACGCATCCATCCAAAATGCGACGGATTGGTTCGGTTCGGTCGGTTTGGACAAATTGGAATATCCGCTACCCACCCCTATATATGGTGCAATTATTACATGTGTTTGGTGCAAAATTTTCATGTGTGTCAGACATACACCAAGAAAATTTACATGTAGCTCATTTATTTTAAGACTATTCCACTTATTTAAATTTTATCCCAAAAAAATTGTATGTAATATTATTTCTATAAGTTTTATTTATTTTTATTTGTTTTATATTTAAAGAGACAATTTTGGTATTATAAATAATGGGTTAGTTACACGTAGCACCCATACATTTGCACAAAAATCTCACTTTAGTCATTCTACTTTTAATTGTGATAGTCAACCTCTTACAGTTTAAATCAAGTTACAATGTCATTTTCAATTTATTTACAATTATTGAGCCTAAAAAAATTAAGAGTAAATAAAATTTTAATGAAAAATTAAGGACTTGTCCGTGCAAAAAATACATGATTTATATCCTTTGATTAAAACACAAGTTTTGGCTAAAACTAGGAGGTTTTGCGTGATTTGCAAGTATGCCTAAGTTGATGAAAATGTACTTCGAAAAATCTGACTTCTGAGAACAAGAGGTTGTGTAAGGTTCAAAGGGATAAAAAAAAACCTCCTAGTTCTTATTTTGCATCAATTAACAGGATTTAAAATCTCAATGGAATTTTTAATGTCAAAAGGAGAAGTAAATAAAGGGAAATAAGCACCAAAAAATATATTTTCATAAATTCATTGGATTGAACAAACAAAAGTATGAACACAAGATTGAAGATATGAAATTGAGTTACAAAATCAAATTGAAACACAATTTAAATCTTAAAACAATGTCTATGAGGGCCAAAAATCATTAATTTGACATAGATGTCATGAAAGACTAGAAATTAAGGCTAAAGTAATAGCAAAGATGCCTTTCAAGTTTACTCCTAAGTTGAACTAGGGCTAAACTAAAAATAAATAGTATTGGATTATGTACTAAGTTGTATTGAACGTTGGATTGATTGGGTGCTTGCTTCATCTTCAATTCTTGTATTTATAAATGCTGGAGCCTCCTAAAAATCATGGTTGCCTCTTGGAAATTAGCAACAGTCTCCTGACAATCTCTATAAAATCTTGAAAATGGGGTGCTTGAGAGCCTCATGAGCTGACACATGTCCCAACAGCTTCCTCTTTCCATGCAAGTGGTTGGTTTGTTCATCAAAGATAGGGTTGACCAAATCCTCTTGAAAACATAAGCCATTAGATGGTGGGTGGGGGTCTTAGATGGATGACAAGTGTTCTTGCTTGGTCAAAAATATCCTATAAAAATAGTTTCTGTTGAAAAAGTTTGAATTCCAACCGCCAGATGAAGAGTTAGTACTTATCCTTCTATCTTTGATGAGTGCCACGTGTCCCACTTCTATATTCATCTATCACATGCGCGCGCACACACACACACACATATATAATAATGTTTAATATCTAAATATTAAATATCTAATCTATAGATACACAAGTACTATCTCTTAGGTTGTAGGGATTGAGTCAAATCATGGAGTTCATCCTCATGATTGTCCTTTATCTCAAAAATCAAAGCATCATTTGCCACTATTTAAACATGCTAGGGTCACCCACTTTGCATCATTACATGCAAACGTGACACCATTCCATTAGGCTGTCATTTTTAGTACAAACAAGACTATACTGAGATCTTAGTGCAAATGTAAGAGTGTTAAAGAGACAAAAAAAATGTCACGTATTGCTCAGAGTCTCAACCTTATTAACACCAAACAAATGGATGGGCCACATTATAACTTGACTGAAAATGTAAAGGGTTGACTATTATAATTGAAAAATAAACATCCAAAATGAAATTAAATGCAAGGGGAGCCTCTATTTCCACGCACCAAATCCACTCAACTGTAATAACCTCGACCTTTGATTAACTATTAAACCATGATTAAGCCAAGATTAAGTATGCCAAATAAGTAATTAAAATGAAATTCTGAATTAAGTGCATGTGTGTTGCATTATTTGTATTTCTATTTGTCTATTGTAGAAATATCTGTTTGAGATTATGTGGTATTTTGCAAATTGAAAGCTTTATCGGCATCCAACTACGAAATTGACTTGGTATATGTGTTATGTGGAATTTTTAGAATTTTATGATAGGTTTAATTAAAATTCGATTCAGAACGAATTAACTAAAATAATTAATGTTAATGTGATTAACCTAAGCCAAGATTAATTAAGTCAACTTAATTGAGCCTTTATAAGTCATGGGTGGACTCTAGTATACATTTTACACTCTCATTTTATTCCCTTGAGACAACAAAACTTGAGGGAGAATGAGAGTTAGAGGGAGAGAGTTAATTCAAGAAGAAGAAAAGGGGAGCTGGTAAGATTGAAGGAAAATTTGTGGAGTTGAGTAAGAATTTGCTAGAATTCAAGAGAATTGGGAACTCTAGGTAAGAATCATCCCCTCAAACTTTGTATTCAAGACATAAGTGGTTGAACTTGAGAGGTTTAAGTGTTTAAATTTGAGAATTGAGCTTAGATTAAGGAATTGGAACATGATCATGTATTGCATGCATAATTCACTAAGATTTGTAAGTTGATTCTCAAGAATTTTCACATACATGCCCATATCCTGGTTTTGTTCAAAGAATTCAACATGTTTTTGACTTAAATATCTCATTTGCTCATGATTTGGAAACTTGGAGCTCAAATCATTTCATGCATGTCATGTTTATGTTATGTTTGCATATTTCAAGCTTGAATTTGTACAATTGACATGCTTATGGTCCTTGACTTCATGAAATGATCTTTAATTCTCTATGTTTTACAAGTTTATATATGTTTTTTCAAGTTTTGGGACCCAAAGGTTGCATTTTAAAGCTTTGAATTCGAGTTTTGAACTTGGGAGTGCAATCTGGAAATTCCAAAATTCTGCTCTCCGCGGGAGCGACAGAACCTACGCTCGAGCGACCACTCTGTATTTTGCACTCTCACTTGAGCGACCATAAGTTGGCTTGAGTGTAAAATGCATGCTCCCAGAAGTTTACAAGTTTTACAGACTGCTCGAGCGACAATAGTTACGCTCGAGCCAAGACCTGTGTCTCATGCTCAAGTGGTCGTCGAGCGGAAAAATCAAGCAACCAGTACTTTTGCAGAGTTTACAGACCGCTCGAGCGACCGAAGTTGCGCTTGAGCAACCACTCACATTTTTGAGCCCCTGCTCCAGCGAAGGAAGTTGCGCTCAAGCGAAGGCCTTGTTTTCAACAAATTTTGTGAAGTGTTTTAAAGTACATTTTGATATCCACATTGCATCCTAGGCATTCCTAGGCCTTGGTTAAGACATCATAATGAGGATAAGACTTAAAAACACACTAAGAACGAAATATAATGAGTTAAGTATATTTCGAGCATGTGTTTCAATGTATATCTGCTATGTGTTTGTGTAGGTCACGCGCCATAGACTATCCAAATCGCCCGCTTTCTCTATTTTTCTATCAAAGCCATCAATGAGTAATAACTTTGTAAAGCTATGTTCAATGTTAAATATTTTCTGAACATTATGATATGAAATACTATGTTTTGTATGTATGAATGAATGATTGTCCAAGTTTTTGAAATATATTCGTGGCATCCATAGCATCATATGATATGCGTCTCTTTATAGGTCATCGGAATGCCTTTATGGCCATCCCTTTATCGGTCATCAGAATGCCTTTATGGGTCATCGGAAACGTCTCTGTGTATATGAGTCATCGGAATGCCTTATGACTGTCCCTTATAGGTCATCAGAATGCCTTCACAGCCGTTTCTTCATGGGCCATTGGATTTGTTAATGCTAATGGATGTGCCACGTACTATAATGTGAAATGTATGAACTTTGAATATGAATATGACTATGTATATGACTCTGTTTCTACTTTGACATCTGATTATGTACAAGACTCTATTTCTGTATAGACATCATTTAGTAAAACCTTTACTCTGTTATTATTTATTGGGTTTCCGCTCAATGAGCTGGCGCATGACCAGGCCTAAACTGTTGCCTGGAGAGTTTGGGTCAACCAGCCACCGTGCCTCCCGAGGAGGCTCCCTTTTGAGATCCGATCATGTTTTTGAGAAACAAGTCCTTGGGACTTTTGTACCTTCTTATGTTTATGTTTTCTCAGAACATGTTCTGGAATACTGTATATGTGGATTTGGTGATGTATGACTAATGTATATATATAACGTCACTCTTATGTATCGAAGTTTTAAATTTCTATTCCATGTATATCTGCACAGCTCTAAGGACTATGAATATTTCTAGATTTGCTTCCGTAGCCCCTTATTATATGATATTTAGGTTAAAGGCCTTTGGTAATCCCAAGATTATTGGTTAGTTACAACTCTAAACCTACAAGGGTGGGTTTGGGTCGTGACAGAATGGTATCAGAGCACAAGTTATACCGCACCACAATTCCATATGAGTTATAGGATTTCATAGGAAGAATTAGGGACATAGCATCTGCATGTGGGAGTGCGTTTGTTAATTTCTGTACATGAGAAAACCGAATCTGAACATGAACACATGAAACTAAAATGAATGAACTGGGCTTGAATGTCCCGAACATTGTGAGAAGAACTATTTGCTTATGTTTATTATTGTTTTGTTTACTTATAGCGATGAAAAATGCAAGAAGTGATGATACAACAGGATCTTCTGAGGCTCGCATGAGTCGCATGGAACAAATGCTTGCAGCCTTAACAGAATCTCTGAGGCAACAACCCATGCCTCATCCGCCTCCACCAATACCAAATGAACTAGATAACAATGACATAATCAATTTGACCTAGAAGTTTATGAAGATGAAACCGCCAACGTTCTTTGGTGGGATTGAACCATTGAAGGCTGAGACATGGCTACTCGAAATGGAAAAGCTATATGAAGTCTTTCCCTGTTTCGAGATTCAGATGGTGCTCTTGGCCACCTATACTTTAAAAGATGAAGCTCGAAGGGGGTGCTTGTTAATCCAAAAAGATAATGGGAACATGACATGGACTCAATTCAAGGAAATCTTCTACGACAAGTATTTCCCTCAATGTTTTTGGGATCAAAAAGTTTCTGAATTTCAAGAGCTCAAGCAAGGCATTATGTCAATCACTGAATATGAAGCTAAGCTCACCGAATTGGCCCGGTTTGTTCCACACATGGTGAATACTGATTATAAAAAGGCACGAAAGTTTGAAGGAGGCTTGACTTTGGAAGTGTTTGACCGGGTTGACGTCTTGAAGTTGCCAACCTATGTGGAAGTATTAAACAGAGCTTTGATGACAGAAGTTACCTTAGCAGCTATGAAGCAAAGCAAGGCCCCAACAATGATAGAATGGAGAGGTAAGAGGTCAGGGAACAAGCTTAGAAAAGGCAGCTCCTTTGGAAGTAAGAGGCAAAATATGGGATCCTCTAGCAACTCTAGTCAGAGTAGTGGGTCTATAATAGTTTGTCCAGATTATGGGAGGAAACATAAGGGCATCTGTTATTGAGCAACGGGCGCCTGTTTCAGATGTGGTAAACCGGCCATATGATAAGAGATTGTCTAGTCCTATTTGAGAATACCAATCACCCCGTAGCAAGTTCAGCCGAATCTGCTTCCGTAATAAGGGCAAATACTAGAACTAATGCTATTGGTAGCACTAGGAATGAAACGCTAAGACAAGGAAGAGTGTTCGTACTAGGACTTGGGGATGTATAGAATACTGAATCGGTGGTGTCAAGTATAATCTCTATCTGTGCTCAGAATGCCTATGTATTGATAGATTCTGGTTTCACACACTCATTTGTATCGCATGCTTTTTTCTCAGAAATTAACTAGACCTTTGGAACCTATGAACTGTTTATTATCTATGTCTACACCATTTGGAGATTTTATGATATGTGCTTACGTTTATCCGACATATGATATTATGATTGGTGATATGACATTATATGTTGATTTGTTGCTTTTGAACATTGACCATTTTGACTGTATATTGGGTATGGATTGGTTGACGAAGTATTGTGCAACTATTGATTGAATGAATAAAACTGTTATGTTTCGACCACCTGGTATGTCTGAGTTTGTATTTGTTAGGAATGGGGTAATTCTTCCACCGTATTTGATCTCTTTGGTGAAAGCCAAGAAGCTATTACAAAAAAAGTGCCAAGGTTACTTATGTTGCGTGTTGACTGTGACTTCTGATAGTCCTACTGTAGAGAATATCTCTGTAGTAAATGAATTTCCTGATGTATTCCCAAATGACTTGCTTGGAGATTTGATTGATACGAAAATTGAGTTTACTATTGATGTTGTACCCGGAACACAACTGATTTCTAAAATCCCATATAGAATATCGACTTCTAAACTAAGAGAATTGAAAGTCTAACTCCAAGAATAGCTAAACAAGAAATTCATCCGACCGAGCACTTCACCTTGGGGTGCTCCAATTTTGTTTGTTAAAAAGAAAGATAGTCCCTAAGGTTATGTATAGATTACCAAGAATTGAATAGAGTAACTATCAAAAACAAATATCCATTGCCCCGAATAGATGATTTGTTTGACTAACTCCAAGGAGCCTAAGTTTTTCCAAAATTGACCTTAGAACCGGATACCACCAACTAAAAGTTAAAGCAGAAGACATAAAGAAAATCGGCTTTCGGACTAGATATAGGCACTATGAGTTTCTAGTGATGCAGTTTGGGGTAACTAATGCACCTACAACTTTTATGAACCTAATGAATAGGGCATTTAAACAATTTCTTGATGAGTTTGTTGTTGTGTTTATTGATGATATTTTAATTTATTCCAAAAGTAGGGAAGAACATGAAAATCATCTAAGAATTGTGCTACAAACCTTGAGAGAAAAGAAGTTATATACAAACAATTTTAAATGTGAATTCTGGCTTGACAGTGTAGCATTTCTAGAACATGTGATCAACAAGAATGGCACATTAGTTGACTCGCAGAAAATTGAGGCTAATGTGAACTGACCAAGACCAACAAATGTGTCAGAAGTTAGAAACTTTTTGGGGCTCGCAAGTTATTATCGCAGATTTGTGAAAGACTTTTCCAAACTTGCTATGCCATTGACATAATTTATAGCGATTCTGGTTTTGACCTAACTTTTATTGTATTCCGAACTCGGGTTTCGTAATTTAGTGTTGTTGTTCATCTCTTTTCCCCTTGTTTTCCTTTAAGTTTGTCTTTTGGATTGTTGTGGTTGTCTTTTGGATAGGTTGGTTGTTTGATTTCTAAACTCTTGTTGCCCAGCTTTTTGCTCTTCTACTCGAATGACACTTCTTGCGCTCGAGTGGGGCTTTGTAAACTTTCAGTAATTTTGTGCAAAACTACTGGGTGAGTGTATTCTACGCTCGAGCGGCCATTTCTTGTACTCGAGCGATTAGTCTGTCGTTTGCAAAACTACTGGATGTATGTATTCTGTGCTTGAGCGTCATTTCTTGTGCTCGAGCAGAACAACTTATTGAGTTGACGCTCGAGCGTCAATTATTGCGCTCGAGCGGACTGTGCGTATATTAGTTCGTAACAGCCTCATTTTAGATCACTTTTTCATCCCTCTCTCTCTAAAACTCTCCAAAACCCTAGATCTTGAGTTTCTCTCTCTAAAACTCATATTCTCTCTACTATTTCACCTAGATCCATTTCTAAAATCCCATATAGAATGTTAACTTCTAAATTGAGAGAATTGAAAGTCTAACTCCAAGAATTGCTAAACAAGAAATTCATCCGACCGAGCACTTCACCTTGGGGTGCTCTAGTTTTGTTTGTTAAAAAGAAAGATAGGTCCCTAAGGTTATGTATAGATTACTAAGAATTGAATAGAGTAACTATCAAAAACAAATATCCATTGCCCCGAATAGATGATTTGTTTGACTAAATCCAAGGAGCCTAAGTTTTTTCCAAAATTGACCTTAGATCCGGATAAAAGTTAAAGCAGAAGACATAAAAAAAATCGCCTTTCGGACTAGATATGGGCACTATGAGTTTCTAGTGATGCTGTTTGGGGTAACTAATGCACCTGCAGCTTTTATGGACCTAATGAATAGGGCATTCAAACAATTTCTTGATGAGTTTGTTGTTGTGTTTATTGATGATATTTTAATTTATTCCAAAAGTAGGGAAGAACATGAAAATCATCTAAGAATTGTGCTACAAACCTTGAGAGAAAAGAAGTTATATACAAACAATTTTAAATGTGAATTCTGGCTTGACAGTGTAGCATTTCTAGAACATGTGATCAACAAGAATGGCACATTAGTTGACTCGCAGAAAATTGAGGCTAATGTAAACTGACCAAGACCAACAAATGTGTCAGAAGTTAGAAGCTTTTTGGGGCTCGCAAGTTACTATCGCAGATTTGTGAAAGACTTTTCCAAACTTGCTATGCCATTGACACAATTTATAGCGATTCTGGTTTTGACCTAACTTTTATTGTATTCCGAACTCGGGTTTCGTAGTTTAGTGTTGTTGTTCATCTCTTTTCCCCTTGTTTTCCTTTAAGTTTGTCTTTTGGATTGCTGTGGTTGTCTTTTGGATAGGTTGGTTGCTTGATTTCTAAACTCTTGTTGCCCAGCTTTTTGCTCCTCTGCTCGAACGACACTTCTTGCGCTCGAGTGGGCTTTATAAACTTTCAGTAATTTTGCAAGTCTGCAAAACTATTGGGAGAGTGTATTCTACGCTCGAGCGGGTCGTTCTGCGCTCGAGCAGCCATTTCTTGTACTCGAGCGGTTGGTCTGTCGTCTGCAAAACTACTGGATGTGTGTATTCTGTGCTTGAGCGTCATTTCTTGTGCTCGAGCGGAACAACTTATTGAGTTGACGCTCGAGTGTCAACTATTGCGCTCGAGCGGACTGTGCGTATATCAGTTCGTAACAGCCTCATTTTACATCACTTTTTCACCCCTCTCTCTCTAAAACTCTCCAAAACCCTAGATCTTGAGCTTCTCTCTCTAAGACTCATATTCTCTCTATTATTTCACCTAGATCCATTGGACTCTTCACCCTAGTGCCTTTGAGAAAATGGTGGAGCGTCTTAAGAGCTCCGTTTTGATCTGAGTAGAAGTTAGTTTCAACATCTTTAAAGTTTCTCCATATCTCCCTTTGGTCTTCTAAGCTTGAGGTAGGGATTTTCTACATCTTCTTATAGTTTTTAACTTAGTTATTAGTTGTTATGTAACAATGATGGGTTTTGGGAGTATTTTGGACAAACCTAGGGTTTGGGATGTAAAATCAAAAGAAAGGTTTCTAGTGAATGTGATATAAATGGTCATGGGGTTTGAAAATGAGGTTATATTGTGTCACAATTGTTGATTTTGGCATTTGGATTAACATTTGGAAAAGAGTGAAGTTAACCTAAAATGGTTCAAATATTTATTTTGTATAAATAAATGAAATTGGTATTATAAATATGAAATTGGATGAATGTTGATGTAAATGGTGCAGTTGGGTATGCATTACCTCACACTTTTGGAAATTTGAATAAATTATTTATCTTGAGATTGAATATCTGTTTAGAAATATCCGTATTGGGCTATCGGTGGAGGATAACTATGATTGTTGTAGAAATTGCATAAGAATTAGGTGAATTAAAACTAATCTCTTGTGGGTTGTCATTGAATATGACTATGTTTTAAATACATTGTATATGTATGATTGTTTAGGAGGAGAAATAAGATGTACTCCATTGTTTGAGAGGAGATAGCGGATAGACTCCATTGAAATTAAGTTGGCTTGTATGTCTTAGGTGAAAGTCCTAAAACCGCGCGTATACATGGGTGCTAATCCCGCGAATGAAATTTCCGTAAAATGGCAAATTGAAATGTTGGTGTGATAATTGTGTAAATTAGGGAACCACTGAGTTGTAGTCTCAGATGGGTTGTCTAAAAGATAATGAAATTGGCTCATGAAGTGAGACGAAATGAATTAACTTAAATTTACGCGAAAAAAAAATAATTGAGGTGTGAGTTTTGGTACTTATGATTATATAAAATATGGATGTTTTATCACTGGCATTGTAAATACACATTATACTTATATCTTTGTTAAGATCCATATACTGTGTTAGATTGTTCCTACTGGGCTTTAGCTCACCCTATTTGGAAAAAACCATTTTCAGGTGTTGATAATATGCCTCCGCCAAGGCAATAGCTTGGAGGGACTTTGGAGCAAGAGCTTCCTTTTGTTACATTTTCTTTTGTATAGCCTAAGGCTTTATTTGTAATAAGCTAGTCTCGCTTTTGTTGTAACCAAGTAATGACTTGGAAAGATGTAAGCCTTTAGGGCATATAATTATCTGTTTAACTTTCATTCCTCTTTATTACTTGTAGCACATGCTGTAGATTCATGATGAACTATTTATGAATATATATCGCATGTGTTGCTTTTGCATAACGATTCAGGTTAATGGAGGTTTATTACTTTGATTACGTTGTCTTGTGTGTATTGTAATTATTTTCGGAGTGTTACACAATTGACTCAAAAAATTGTACCT